TCAAAAATGGAGGATGGATCAACAGAGATCATTTGGAAGACTGTCAGAAACTATGGCTGGATCCGCCCATTTACATATTTTTGAACATATTATTTTTCTTTCTATGTTCTACATACTGTTTAAAAGATGTTAGATAGTACACATTTTGAAAACTGTCACGTTGGTCACCATAAATATTTGGCCTGTCATTTGTATATGACAACTTATTTCCTCTTCCAAACATCAGCAATTCAATATACAACCATCCACAATAACAGATCCAGAAAACATAAAAGAGAATTTAAAATGTTACACTGGACCAAAAAAATCTGGGATTTATGCTTCCCTGCAAACTTTAATCATGTAATGAAAATCACTCTTCTTAAAGATGCACTGCCCAAAGTATTAATTACATAAGAAGTAACTAGCACTTCTTAACATTCTGAGCCTACTCAGTGTGCTCACTGTTAATACTCTGGTGCTGTTGATGAGGCAGAAAACCACCTGCTAATCCTGGTGAACTAATGATCTCTTGCTCCTAAGTACCACGCTTTTGACCCACATTTGCACTAAAAAGGTCTGACCACTAGCCAAGTGTCCACAATACAGTGGTCAACATAAAGATTAGCTGTTGTGGTCATACCTTTTGTACACCTGCCTCCCTCATTAATATCTCTCTCTCACATAACACACTTGTATTAGCAAAGATAATCCACAGTGTGGGGAACTGCCTAGAAACATATTTGAACATTTCTCACAACAGAAAAATTATGTGGGGGTTATTCAAAACCATCATGGGACTAGGAATAAAAAAATGACATGAATTTGGAAATTGGCTTGATACGTTCGGATAAACAAAAGTATAAAATTTCCTTAGTTATAGTAGCTACTTTCTATAGCCTAAAACTAACTGCCCAACTTTGTATCAAATCTTCTCTCCATTAGCAAAACCTAAAAAAATTCAATGATATCTTTCAATACAGAAATGTGCATGCAAAAACTTCCTATGACCAAGGAATAAATTTTAAGTGAAACAATGTGCATGTACTAGCATCAGTTGAAAATAAAGATGCACATCATGCCTCAGTGATCAAAGCTATCGGTAATGGCTAGAAACTATCGGAGCAAACTTTTACAATTATTAGTTGTATAAGTTTTAACACTTTTAAACATGAAAATATTCAAGAGTGTAACAGATGCTTTTGACAACTGATTGACTTCATTACAAAAATAAAAGAAGAAAATTTCAAGTTCTCCGAGAAGATCAAGTATGTGGTTTGTTTTTTAAACTTCTAACTGTGAAATATTTCAACCATGTCAGCAATAGCAATCGAACATGGCTTCTAAGTTACTGCCTATTGAAGCTTCTAAACAATAGTTTATTACCCCCCAGCAGCTTCAGTAGGCGTGCCAAGCATCAGAAAGCTGAAAACAATTTAGCAAGAAACTCCTCAGAAATGGGTCGATCCTGCTAGATCAATCTATGTATGGGAACAGGGTCTATGTACACCTACATCCTTGCTATATAGTTATGTTTCACTAAAGTTATGTATTCTATTCAAACATCATCCTATTAGAGATGAATTTGAACCGAGCATGGATTCCCAGTAATGCAATATATACTTGTTTTTATACAAATCAAATCAAGTGGACATGCCAAAGGATAAACCAAATTAATCACTCAATCAGCCATAAAAGTGCTTTAAAAGTGCACCTTCTTTAAATTTTTAGTTGTAAATTTGGCCTTATCTGACCTACTTATCTGTGCCAGTTATACCCCTATTTCACACCAACTATGAATTATGAACCAGGAATAGATAAATTCCAGGGTTCTTACTTAAATTGTGATAAATTCTTTAAGATCTTAAGTGATTCTTATTCATTTTGATGCATTTGTTGCAATTCTTGAGAGACTGTGAAATGGGGACAAAAGTTTTGAGCTGTTCAAAATTTCAGTACATTCTTAGATACCATAACTGATTCCTGGTATATTTTTAGCCATTCCCATATATTCCTACCTTTGCTAATCTAGGAATTATGAGGCATTTGTCTGACCAAGAAACTAAACTACAAATCCTAACCTTTTTTTTTTTTTTTTTGAAAACATTCATGCAGCATCCCACAAATATTCTTAAGGCTATCGTAACAAATTTGTAACTGAATGCTACAGGGTCAACATTTTCACTAGAAAGGTGCAAAATTATACCATTCCTCGGGATTTCTAAAATTTGTCAATTCCTGTCAGTTCATGGAATTCATAGTCGGTGTAGAAAAGAGCCATTATATACACCACAGAAAGGAAGCAGCATATATATCTGTTTAAAAATCATTTTTCAGGTAACATGAAACAATATCCTTTGGTATTTCTCTAATTCTCTAAGTGATACTAATTGAAATGATGTGGTGGCATTTGGTCAGCTTTTGTGGCAAAAATTTGACTTTAAATGCATCTTAAAAACTGAAAATGAATGTCAACTTGGTTAGTATATTATACATTATACATTGAGAAATTATTTAAACAAAAGATTCCTACTGGTGATGTTCCAAGAATTTCTCGTTTTAAAGAATTGAGTTCCATTGTTAATAACATGTTCAACAATGAGCGCATTCACAGAAGTGGGCTAGCAGATACGCGGATCAAATATGGCCAACCACTTGAATGCTTGTTGCGTAATATCTGTGGGGAATCTGTTCAGTGTCTAATCGGGAATTAAGAGGCAAGCTTTAAAGTGGCTCCCCATATTTGATCTGTTGATCTGTTAGTTCATTGTTCTGAATACACTCAATATATATACTGGGGGAATACCCATACAAACACCAGCGTTTTTTGGAGGGCATTCTATTGACCACACATAAAAAAGTAGATTGTTTCTAAATAGATCAAACATGTTTTTAAGCTTTTTCTGTACCATCACTACACAAGAAACAATAAAAAAAATGATTTCAATGCAACATGCAACACATACAGTGCTGGAAACATTGGAATCAAATTTCCAATAAAGCAGAGTTTCTCATGTATGCAATGAGAAGGCACTGGCTTCGAACCACACTTTCAGTACTACATAACAGACACACTAAAACTGCCTGTTCTTGGTGGCTTTTTTCTAATAAGTCGTGTTCAAACATAATTAACTAACTAGTATTATATTATACAACTCATACTTCAGCCTCATGCAATAAGCAGGTCACATGTTCTACATGGTTATGCCAAACAAATTCAATAAATCCTTTTAATACAGAAAATCATTTTTTTCAAAGAACAGATTTTGTCATTACCATTTATTTATTATGATCTTTCCTGGTGAGGTGGAAAATTGGGGGCACCACAGAAGCACATTCCAGGATGTTCATGATGTTAAAATTGAATTATTGTCTCTAATATAGAAGAAGATATCAACAACATAATCTATAGTCAAGTCATTTATATTGCACATGCATATATTATCAGAAAAAAAAATATTATTTTCTATTAAAATATAAAGTGTTTTATGTTTTTTTTTTTTTTTTTTTTTCATTATTGATGAAGTAACAGTCATCAAATCACTGACTACTCAAAAGAAGGATATTTCTCTGGTTTACCACAGCAGCTTTATAATGCTATAAATTAGGACAACCTACAGTATCTTCTATCAGCTCTTCTTCTTTAAGATAAAATTGATAAAACTGTAGGCTAATCCTGATAGGCCTACATATTTTCATTCATGCTTTAATGTTTGGTTTTAAATATTCTAAATTCCATGTTCCAATGTATATAACACAGCACATGAAAAATGAAATGAAAGCCTTTTTTTCTTCTTTTTTTTCCATCTGCATTAACATTTTGGTGTTACTTTCAGAGTTGCTACATATGACAGTAAAAACTGGTGCCCATCATAATCATAAATCTTCTTTAAAACTCAATGATTTTTGTGCATATTCAACCATTTTTCATTGTATGGAGGTAAAGAACCATACAACAATACAGCAGACATCTAAGGATGGTGCCAGTTTTGCCAAAAGTAATGCATCAATTCTTTGCAACTGCAAGTGCACAGACTGCAAACTAAATTATAAAAGCCAATCAATTTTCAATTCACTTTCAAACAGGTCACAAGCTAGTGTTTTTTCTAATTTTCATAAATATATAATGTCCATTTATGCTATTGTCTGATGGTAGCCATAGTACCAAAATGTGCTTGTATCCATAAAGGGATAATAATAATAATAACCTTCTTCAATAGCCAACCAAATCACTTAGAGGTAATAAATTAAACATTTAATGAAAAAAGTGCAATGCATCCTAGATAATAATGTACATGAAAATTCATCAAATAAAGTGCATGTCTTGTTTCACGGTCTACAAACACCTGCCAACTGCATAAATATACTGTCATCCATAATCAGTGCAATGTCCACAGCAGACGTCACACTTCAACACATGGCAACCTCTGGTCTCACACCTAATCAACATGTCCAGACAGCAAGACAACAGCAGGTGACGGAGCTGCAAACATCCTATTTTCACATTGACACAGGAAGATCACCATCATTTCTCATGAGATGAGCCCCATCTTGATGATGATGATGATGATGATTAGTGTCATTACATATGTGCCTCAGCATGATATGCGTGAGACATCCCTTGTTCATCATGCAGAAATCAAAGATCAGATATTGAAGATGAGTCTCCATTTTGAACACGTAAGGTTGTACTTCAGATGGTGCCCATCGTAATCATGAATCCTTTAAGCTTAGACAAACTTCATGCCAAGAAACCTCTTTCAGACAAATGCTTAATATATTCTAGTTTGGTTAACAAAAACGTAGAATACTTCCAATGTTAGTTTAAAATGTTACTCACTCTCAATTACTCTCAAACAGTAAAAATTAGCCAAATGCTAAACATTTTAATCTGACATGAAAATTAGTATTTTCTTCCAACTCTCAAACCAATTTCACACAAAGTTTCATCTCTGAATTTTCCTGCCAAATATTGGGTTAAAAGAATCCTGTCCTAGGCAAGCCCATTTAGTATAAGTTACCTTTTTCTGGTTCCTGCTGATGGCTGCCAGGTACGACCAAATCAACGTGGGCACAAGGTCCATGGTGAAGTACTGCAAGTTTTCTACTCTTGACCTGTAGAACTCAAATAACTGATGGCACACAGGATCAATGATCTGTTTAAAAAAAGAAGTAAAATAAATAAAACTATGTACATTCCTGAATAATAAATGCTCTTACAAATATGCCGGTTAATAGAACAAAATATACAAATTTTGGAGGTTATTTTACTTTGTTGCAACATCATTTCAATTCAAAATTAATATCATTTATTATCTGAATTAACATTTGAAGGCTGTTTCAACATTCATTTATTTCATATCATGGACCACTATCACTTCATCAAATTTTGCTCCTCTTGATCAGTGTAATTAACACTTAAGAACAGGGTGTGGAGGATATGTCAGTTTTTCTAAGGCACTATATACTGATATACTGCACAGACTCTTGCCTTAATCTAGGACACAAAACTGATGTCCTTGCCTTTAGTAAGCATGCTTATTCTACCCTCATCACACTAAATGATAAATCTACCCTTTTTGTTTCCCATCTACCATCATGTAATCATGACAAAATACTTCCATGTCTTCTAGGTTTCCTGACAACAATCTCTGGTTTTATTATTGATCAGTGTTTACAGATTGGCAAGAAATTGTTACACACTGGTCAGCTCATTGTTGTACCTCATGCTCTCTGTCATTCTCTAGCAGATCATAGAGTGCACTGGTTAGGTCTTCATTGCCACGGATTGTCTTTGCATAGTTGCTGATTTCTGTCTCTGGAAGAGCCTGGAGTCAGAAATTAAAACAGACTGCCATTAAAGCAAAATACACGCAGAATATAAACTGTACATTTGAAAACTTGCCTATTGAGAACATGGAGAAAGTGTAGAAAACTTTTCTCCTGATAAATGCAAAAAGAAACATAAACATGAAATAATATTTTAAAGTATATGAAAACATTGTTATAGTATATTTAGTTTCTTCACTTGTACTTATAAATGTACTTATTCTTTATAGTTTTCCTATTCAAACATCTAAATATTTGTCCCATACTTGTCATAAACCTGCTCTAGGAATGCATTTAAGTATAGAGAGTTCAAAGAAGGAGGTGGGGCTTCCCCTCTCCCAATAACAAAATTATATACTTTTCCATTTTTAAAGTTCACCTTGAAAGCAGGTCTGCTATCTTTTCATCATATTTGATAGCATAAACATTTATTATCCCAATTGTCCATTGTAAGTACTTGTCATCCACTGTATGTGGCATACAAGAGCAAATTCTACCTCGGGTTACGCTCTGATATGTTGCATACAGTGGACAACTTGTGTTGTAACTAGTACTTATCCAATGAAGCTCATGCTATCAATTTTATTTGTTTTACATGTAAACAGTAAAAACAAAATTATTTAGGTTATGAATCTCGATCTTTAAATACCTGGCCATTAAGAATAAATAAAGAGTTTTTGAAACTGAGAAATCCTAGGCAATCTCATGCATTCTACACTTTTCTCAATCCCTGATCTTTTCAGGTGATATTCCACTGTTAATCACATGTGAAACAATAAGATGTACACAGTCTAAGAGATACACTGTTGGTGACCGTGTGTTCACTCCATCTGTCCTCCCACTTGTACACAAGGCCTCCACATCCAGTTTCCCATGCACTGAAAAGCACCAGCAGCCAGGCTAGCAATCTCACAGATATCCCCCAGCGGGTGGCCAGACTAATAAGTCAAACCTTATTTCTCTGTGCATTGCACACTATTGTCTGCTAACAAAGCCTACAAAACTTGGTTGACAGCCCTGACATACCTGTTGGACAGATTAGAAGTCAAAGATGGGGAGCATTTCATATCATGTAGGTTTTTTTTTTTTTTTTTTGTCTTGTTTATTAAAAAAAGGAATATAAGTTTATATAAATATATATGAACCTCAGAATATTGTCCTATGAAATTATGGTTCTGAAGAAATTGATCAAATATTTTGTAAAAGTTGTTGTTTCCTTTACTTTGCTTAACCTATTTATAATTTCTAAAGGATCCACAATAATAATAATAATAATAATAATAATAATAATAATAATATTGCTGTTATTATTATTATTATTATTATTATTATTCTGTTTCTTCATAACGATAGATTTAACCATGTTATTCTGCAGTGTTGTGGTAGTCACTCACTTAATCCTGGATGAAGCCTAAAGAAAGTTCTATTGCAACATGACACACCCTTAAGTCTTCCTGCTGAGTAGAGATGAAGATGAAACAAACAACAAAAAGGAATTTCTATACAATAATAAAAACAAATAATTAAAACTGCATTGAGAACAAACAAAAAAAAGCTATCACTATCACCAGAGAATAAACAATACATAAAATATAAATCATTTTGATATATATTACATAGGTTTTAAGCCAAGCTAGAAGCTCTTATAATCTACTAGCATAGATAGTCAGTAAACAAGTGAAAACAAAAAAGTATTTCCAACTTTATACTGTTATAAAAATTAAAGCAAAAAAAAATTTTTTTTTTGTAACAAGACACGAATACCACAATTTTCTGACAAAGCAAGCATGCAATGTTCAGTAGATATATCAATGCTTTCCCAGTAATGCCTGTCCCCTCAAATTGCCAAAAATCAATAAAAGTCACATCTCCTCTCATCATTCATTTCATGTTACTTCTGTCCTTGTTTTGCCACAAGATGTCATTTAATCTAAGCTGGCCATCTTCACTTCATTACACAAGCTAAAAGATATCATAATGTAAACCCCACTTCTTCCACACCTGGGTCCTCACCTATAAGAAGTCTGCACTGGCCTTTGTCTTTCAAATAGGAAAATGATTTTTCCAAAGGTAATTACAAGAGAGGTCACTTAATCTATTGTTTAAAAACAATATAATGAATGTCTTTTAGTTATAAGAAAAATATAACCATGCTTTTTTGTTGGTTGCCAAATACGTTTCAGTCCGCACAAGTAAAGCATGTGTTTCCTTATCAGGAAAATGAGAAAAACCAATCTAATACCTCTTCATTATATATATATTGTTATATAATAAATAATCTTCCAATCTCATAACATATTAAGACTTCAATACCCTTTTCCAACTTTCTCTTTTATGTTAATGAAATGCCAGATAATCAAATTAACAAATACACCAATCAATTAAAACATAAGTCTCGCAAAACTATAATTCTGGAAAATATGTTACAATCAATTTATTCTACAAGCATGAAAGCTTCAATGTAGCTTTCCATGACCTGGTATTAATCTGCTGAGTCTAAAAGTTAGGGTGGTTTTGTTACAAATTAAGTTCTATTTCAAGCATGTCAAAATTTACAGATTTACTATCTAATCAAAAGAACCAGTAAAAAAAATGTAACATAATAAAATTAAGAGTCCTGCCAACCTCTAGCTTCATGTCGGTATGCTTCTGCAGTATAATTAAATGTTATTGGCCATCAGTGAGTAATAAATGTTTTTAACGTGTTTACACAGATAATGGAATTACTTTTTCATGCAAATGCCACCAGTGAACTAAATGCTTAAAATTGCTTTTCTATCATCCTTTTATGGCATTATTATTTAAGTTCACACTGCAATCATGTAAAAATGGTTTAAAATCTTCTTCTAAATTATTTAATAAAGGAAAAGGGACAATCTTCTGTTTGTAAATTAATTATTTTCTTCTTCTCTGACTGATTGCCAACGGAAAGTTGGATCTATCATGTTTAACATCACTTAGACAGCAAATGTTGCAAAAATCCAATTGCAAGCAAGACACTTGTAATAACGACAAATGACTGCTTTGGATATGATTTGCCCAAAACAAATTCAGATTTAGAAAATGTGTTTAGACAAATTTTGTATGAATGAAAAGGTGAAGTTGTTAAAAGCCACTTGAGGGGAAGTTGTAAAAAAAATCAAAATTTGTATTAATTATGTATAAGCTTCAGCACAAAGTTTGATATGGCAATGGTGAGTTAGTACACATGTAACAAAAAAAACTGTTGATGATTTCTTTAAAATCTGCTGTTTTCATTTTGGCTAAGTACATTGAAAGCATCCTCAGGTTGATAGCCAATATTCTTAATTACCCTGGATTTTTTTCAATTTACTCTGCAATTTGCCATAATAGATTAAAATAATAAAATAATCATATTTCCCACTGGCCAACTCAAGTTTTGCTGGTTGTTTAAGTGATGTAAGCAGGTGCAGCACGAACGAGATACAAAACTGTTTACATGGCATCAGTCAGTGCAGAGATGTAGGTGATACAGTTTTTAATCTCTTTTTGTCAACCACAGACTTGTTGCACAAAATCATTTTTTCTATGTTACTGAAGGAAAAAAAACTCTGTCACAATGGACAGAAATGAACAGTGGTTAAAAAACTGATGTCCACAACATGCACCAGTATGTCTTTATTTATAAACATCACGTTATCTTTGCTGACTTATTCCAATTTTATTTTTTGAAAAAAATATGGTTCTTTTTTCAAAACAATGGGTGTATGGATTACTTGATTACTTGCATATATAACCTAAAATATTCCTTACTGAAACATTAAACCAGTTCATTTTTAGTTGACATAATACTGATATAAAATAAAACTTACAGGCTCTTAATACAGTAGATATGGCAAATAAACTTAGTTTGATCTTCCAACAATTCAGTTATTGATCTATAAAGTAAATTCATTCTAAACGTTTCACAGAATACCAAATGTGAAACTGACACAAGCAGAGGGGGTAAGGTGTCAAAAAAACAGTGAAAAAATACATTCTAATAAAGTATTTTTCTGTCGAAAAATCCGTGTACTTTATCTCATCTTGAAAATTATTTTTGAAACAATTATACTTCACCACCACATTTGACTTCGACATTCCATTCAATGCCTCTCCTATGACTTTTTTACTGCTACATTTAGATCATAAAAAGATAAAGGAAATTGATTCAAAACAAGTTACGCTTATTTAGACAAAAAACTCTTCCTTTAAAAATTGTAGGAGAAATACTGTTTATTTAAAAGGAAAAAAAGAAATCCAGCTGCATTGAGTTTGATATAAGATAAAGTAAAATCACAAAAACCAGTAATCCTACTACATCTAATTTATAACCTATTGTATTTCGCAGAACTTGAAAGACAGCAGGCAAACAAAGCATCTTGGTTTTTTGAAATGAACAACAAACCATGATAGTAATACTGATGATTAATTTGTCAAATCTTTGGTCTTTCAGTAAATCACCAAGTAAGAAAAATATAAGGATTAAATCTGCCTGATCCTCTTTGCAGAATACAGTAGAATATTGGTAATACTGGAGATATAGGCACTGGAAATTGTTATATAATAATGGTATTATGGGAAGTAGCACAGATAACAGGTGTTAATAAGCATAGATGACAAAGAGAGAGGATTAGGTCTTTGTTTCAGACCTACAATAGCAAGGCAGCAAAGCTCTCAGATGGCAGTCATAGGAATGACAAAAATAAAATGTCTAAAATTGATGAACAACTAATATTACGATGAAAGTGCACAAAATATGTTTTTGTCAATTGTGAAGCAATGTTATATAATACATAATAACAGAATCACTACCAAATTTTATTACATTCTGTTGTTGTGGACAATAGGAAAATGTAAATAACTCAGCATGGCTTCAGTCCAATGGGAGTTAAGTCACACCTTGAAAATGACAACTTGAGAAAAACTTAAAATACACACAAAAGAAAACTTCATAACTAAAAGAACATAATCAGGTTGGTATTCAAACTTATAATTACTAGTGCTACTAGTATGAATGATTCCTATGCAATGTAAGTTTGATTTAATATGTAAGTTTTTATTTTTTTTTATGGTGATAACAAGTTGAATTTCAACTTAAGTGCACAACAAAGGGTAAAGGCGAAAATACTGATGATGGCTGCAATTTCAAGCACCTGATTTTTATCCATAAAAATGAATAGCAAAGAGTTCCATATCAATGCCTATAAATTACATACTCAAACACTTAAAACCCTAATTCTAAAAACCATGTTTCTATCCCCAAACATACACATACCAACCACCTTCACATGATGTAATAAAAGTCAGGTTATATTTCTCAAAAGAATGAGACAATTCCCATAATTAGTACTGGTAGACATATTTGGGATGGTTTATATTTTTCCTCCAGCATGATAAAGCTTGGTTTAAAAGATACAGATTTCCACAGGTCTATACATCACAACTCTTGGGATAGACACCTTCCGCACTCAATGCATGTTAAATAAAAGCATAATTATACAAATCAAATCAACATTATTATGGAATGCTAGGAAAGGAAGTGAGAAATCACACTGCAAATTTACAGTTGACATGTACCTTATATCTTGACAGCCATTCGCGGATGTCTCCCTGAGGCATCTTGCTAAAGTTCAATGCCCTTCACAAGGTGAGCTGCTCAGCATTTGAAGACTTGTACAAAAGTGATGCCTTCAGCCAGTATCTACTGAAATGAGATTTAAAAAATATGATTAAATAGATTCTCACATGGTGCTGCATTCAAAATAAAGGATGTGTCAAGCTCGGCAAAGTGTTGGACTCAGTGTCAGTATTTATGCCAGTTAAAAGTCAGTTGTCTCAATTTGAATGTAATAGTGTAATATTCAACTGCTAATTATAACAATTTGAAATGGAAAACCACATCTCCATTTCATGTTTATGAAATCTTAAGCAAATAATATTCTTATATATACATGTACCACTAATTAAAATCACAGAAAAGTATCAGTAACTGTGATCATACTAGAATACAGTGTCTTTTGGTCAAGCAGATAAATTTAGCAATATTAGAATATGAATAAAATCAATGATAAATTTCATGAAAAAAAAATTTGATCATTGAATAAACTTATCCAAAAACATAACCTCCTTGGCAGAGGTAAACACTCCTTAGCCAAGTTTGAAAATGTTTAATTTTAAATTCAACCATGCCAGTTAAGTGGTAGCATGGAATCTTATTTAATTTTTTTAAGCAACGATTTAATAAACTGCTGGTAAAAAGGAGCTGAAAGGCATGCAATTGATGGTGATCCCATAAAAGTACAGTACATCTCCCCTGACATCTGATTTCTGGGTCACTTCTAACAATATCTATAATATGGGACTGATGGTGACCCCATGTGAATGCAGTTAAACCCCCCTGACATCTGATTTCTGGGTCACTTCTAACAATATCTATAATATGGGACTGATGGTGACCCCATGTGAATGCAGTTAAACCCCCCTGACATCTGATATCTGGCTCACTTTGCAAAATATCTGCGGCATGGGACGTGATGGTGACCCCTTGAAAGTTTTTCACAGATGTCACCCTGAGGCTTGTCACCAAATATCAATAAAGTGTACAATTCAGTGTACAACCCCCTGACATCTGAAAACTGAGTCACTTTTACAATTACTAAAAAACATTTAAACAAAACATAAAAATAATTCAGCTGCAGCTTCTATTGGCAACAGGCAGCTTGGTTTTTTAACATTCTGCATGTGTAATTCTGCATCTATCTTTCCTTCTTACTTGAAGTAAATGGATTGAGTGGATAGATTTGAAAGCAGACATTTTCAGACACATATCAATTTACTGAGAAGTTCAGAGCTCTTTCTTTGACTCGGTGACTCACTTTTGATAACTCGTGTTCATTGTCATAACATACCATCCACCTTGTTCAATTTGACATCCATTTAAGCTACCTTCTGTGAATTCCAGAATGTATTAGAGAAGAAAACTTTAGGATGTGACAGAGACACTGCGTTGGACAGTATCAAATCTTTTGCAGTTTGTGACAGAGATGATATAGCAATCTAGCTATACGTATACCTCAAGTAAAAGGTAGAAAAATGAACAGAAAACAATGACAATGGGCAGAATAGAGTTATCATCACTTAACATTATCCTCTATTCTTTGTTGTTTTTATTATTCACTGATATTTGAATTTTCTCTGAAATAAAAAGTCAAAGCAATTATATGTAAAGGATAGCATTGATGACTTAAACTATTTCAATAACAATATGTAGTCTATCATGTTCTAATTCTTTCATCAACAGAACATAAACTGTTATCTTACCATGACTATTCAAAATAAGAACAAAAAAACCTTTGAGATATGTCCCATAGCCAATTAGCCTGTAGATTGCCATGTGGCTACATTTTATAGAAAAAAACAAAACTATGTATACACTAGGTAAGAAAATGAGGAAATGTAAATGTCAGAAAAAATCTATTAAAAACAATATCAGAAAGTACTTTCAACATACTTTCATCAGACATGTCTAATAAGGCACAGAAAAAATGCCCTTAAAACTTTATTAATGCAGGCTGGCTAAGGTCTAGTGAGAGGAAAGGTAGAGCTAAGGTTTATGAAGGTATTCTCATTATAATAATTGAGTTGTAGTAAGCTAATGCCATCACTGACAGGTCATCACTACACCTCGTGAACTGTTCTTTGCTGAATGATCCAGGAACTAAAACAAACATATTGATTTATTCCTGTGTAACAGTGAATCATGATACCTCAATTTGTGGTAGTGACATTGTGCAATTCATCAACATGCTCTTATAATTACTAAAATAAAGCATTAAAACCTCAAAAACAAACAAAAAAAGTTTATATTTTGCCACATTTGTTTATTAATTTCTTTGTTTCACCCCCCCCCCCCCACCCCCATGTTCCTCATATAGCCAACATTTGGAGGTCAATTTCTATTGCATACAACGTGGAAGCTACTTTGTATTAATTTGTATTTCTTTTCCTCTGTGGTCCAAAATTTTTTCACCATGCGTATTTCATATTTACACTAACCTGTTTGAAAAAACCCTAGAATTAAAATTTCAACTGTGTGTTCATGCTTAGCACCAGTACTAGTACTTATTGTATGCAAATTTCCACTTTTTGTGACATGGAATGAAAATCAAATTGACAATTAGGGAAACTTTTGATGACTCATTTACAGCTCTAGGCATCTGAAAAAAATGACAGCCATGATGTCACTAAAACCTGAATAACATTTGATTTAAATATAAATCACTTATTCATGTTCTCAGATATGTAGCTATCTTTGTATCAAATTTCTCAAGTTATATGTATATCATATCTATATCAAAATCTCAGGCTTAATTAGAAAACATGTGTGGACCTTAAATACATTTGTATTCTATGATGTTCCAGTAATTTGGACTCGGTCATTATATATTACCAGAATCAGGGGTATTAACCTGAATAAAGTTTCTGAATTACAAGAATCAACAATAAAACATATTTAAATCACTTCTTCAAGGTTTTTCATTGAGTTTACCACTTTAAAATCCATTTAATGCTTGTCCTACTACAGAAACTTTTTTTTTGCTACTTTGGAATTGAAAATAGAAGTAGCATCGATTTGATTATTATCGTCATGACATGTTGTCCGCCATATTGCCAAGATATTTGATGACGCTTTTCTTGGCAATATGGCAGACAACATAAACAAATTGTACCGTAACAGTGGTAAAACTTAGTTGCCTTTTCTACAGTTATGGATCATTTTCTCTAGTTCAATATCAAGAATTGAAGATTTGATAATGAACACCTGTTGATGTTCTGACCAGGGGCGGATCCAGGATTATGTGAAGGGGGGTCCGCAGATGCCAAGCCAACCCCCCGCCCACCCACCCACCCACCCACCCCTCGGTGGCATTGGAAAAATATTTTGGTATTTAAGAGGATGAAGGGTGCCATTTGGTATGGTTTAAGCTATAATGTCAAAATTCCAATTTCAAGATGAGACCACTGCAGTGATTTTTTTTTTCAGAAATCAAGGGGGGGGTCAGGACCCCCCTGACCCTACTATAAATCCGCCACTGGTTCTGACAGAATATACTAAACATAATAATATTGATTCCAGCAATTTAAATCATGCTTATGGTTGACTCCGGTAAATACGGTACCTTTGATTCCGGTAATTTACCAATATGATCCATTATGACTAACTCCTACCCTATGCCTAAGTTTTAGCCCTTGCATGCTAGGTAATTACTTCGGGAATCGTAGGAAGTAAGGTCATATAAAGAATCATCCCCCTTTACCTTAGTCTTCGGCTTTATACTGTAGGTAAAAAAATACTGAGTCAAATCCTCCCCCTGACCATACATTTAGTCAATTTGTCCTACAGGAGACATCCCATTTCAGCTTTTAGCATTCCTTAAATAACCAGTCTTGGCATCTCACATTCATATATTCTATAGATATTTACATAATAAACGTATTGCTATATATCAAACTTATTCAAGTCAAGAGATATACCTCTATCGGCGCCTTTTCTGCCTTTCACTCTTGATATTACTATTGTAAATTGTCCAAGGTCAAGGTAACAATTAGATAAAACGCGCGTATTGCACCTGATTTTACCAAATAAATATCATCTGCTGTATTATTTGCAAATATAGATCGCATATTATAAAATAATATAATATTTTTAGTCTTTAATATCATTTTTGTTCTATTTTGAGGATTATTTGAATGGAACAGGTTTTTACTGAAGCTGTAACTTTACATCGCGCACCTGTTACTGGTAAATAAAGATGGCTACCGCGGTCGGACTGCGCGTATCAGTGCGAGGTAAGGTTTTGGGATCAGGGATCTTGCATGGTTCGATACAAGTTCGTTTAACCTGTCTTACTTTAAATCAGTGAAATCAGCAATGAACTAAATATTATAAATAAAGACAAAACATAAATGTAAATTTACAGCTAAATTATAAAATAACATCAAGATTCAAGATCACAGACTCATAACCCCACGGAATTGCAAAGAAATTGTATATAATACAAGCAATTACATATTAAAATTATTTAAATCTGCCCTGGTTCCCACTGTTCTGACAGGACACAAAAAGGATCTTAGAGGGGCTGGTCACTAAAAGGAAAAATTTTGGCCATGGTTGTCATAGTTTACGTGAAAGCCCCATAGGATTTTCATTTAGTTCTAGTGATCAACAGTGTTTCATTCAGATGAATGGAAGAAAACTTTTTGAGGTTGAAGCTAATGTTTTATAGGGTTGCAGAATCCAAATATCGAGTTATTAAGATATTTTCAGCAGTTTGCAGTGATAATTTACATATCGCATCAAAACAAAAGAAAAACACACACCCAACCGATTATTGGCAACAATAAATCAAAATGTTGCACCAAAAATTCAATAAACCTGCCCTTGTCTTGTGCTACACAGCATGCTCTAAATTTTCATTAACTATCTTTATGATGTTTTATTAGTATAGAGACTTACCCTAACTACAATTCTTGACTGCTGTAAATAAAAACGAGTCACATGGAATCACTTGTGCTTTTTGTTGGTTTCTGACAGGTGAAGTTGTACATCTCTGTCTCATGCAGGGAACAAACACTCAGACGACACTTACACAAAGCATTGCCAGGCTAAGTAACATTGATAAGATTATCTGTCATATGTGAGAAGATTCTCTTGTTGTAAAGATAATACTGTGGAGGGACTTTGAGGGTTTACTTTCCAAGCAAACATCATATTGACATCGATATACAAGTTATTATTTACTCAACACAGGTAAGAGTTATTACTTCCATCTTTCCATCCAAAATGCCTCCTGGAGACTGGAAGTCGTCCCAGGTGATCACTGGGAAGACCAGATGTTGGATTCTTTGAGCCTCGATTTAAAAAAACATTATTTTAGTCTAGAAATCACCAGCAGGGCTGGAGGGTTATAATCACTTAAACTTCATTTTCAGTGTCCAAAACTGTTAGCAGTGCCAGTAAAACTACCCCCCCCCCCTCCACACACACACACACACACACACACACACACACACACACACAAGCACGCATTTTGTGCTTTTTCTCATTCTTGGGAAGTGGCACGATGAGGTGCGACGTTATAATTTTGATTTAATTGTTCAAGATTTGCATTTTTAGCTGAATCTTGAGACGAAAGTGTTCTGTCAGCTTACTGTATACATTACCAAATATTCCAAAGGCACTTGCTTTTTTATCAACAAACAAGTACTAAACTTTAAACTCAAGTTATGGTTTCTAAAATTAAGGCAAAGGTTAAATGGTACTTTTTATCAAATAAAATAGAAACTAGATTAAGAGTATTTTTATTTTTATTTGGAACAATTATGAACATTTTGTTTCTTCCCTTCTCTTTTACGTATTTGACACTCAGTATTTTTCTAAAGTCTGTTATTATGCAGTGACTTTTATCAGTTTTGTTTGGCACTTTATGGTCACTTAAATAAGGATTTTTACAGGAAATTTCAGGCACATTTGACCAATACGGACGTCGGTTATGGCAAATTTTCATCCCTGAAATGACCAAAACCTGAAATTTCTTGTAAAAACATCAAAATATCAGTTAATAAATTGCAAAATCGATTTGTTTGAATAGTATTGGTCACCACATTATTGATATCAAAAAATGAAAAACTTCAGTTAGTTATTAGCTGGGGGAATGCAGCATCCAAAAGTTTACATTATATAAGCAAAGCGAAAATGTAAGGAATGCATGTCACTGTTCTTTCAGGTCAAAGTTGATGAAGAAAAATATAGTCTTATGTCTAAAAACATTTATATTAAGGTATTTTATAGCTTGGAACTTTTTTATCAAATCCAGTTTACGCTCTCTTTCACAGCTTTGTTAGTTATCTTACATAGGTTAGGTACATTGAGTGTTGTGGTAGGATAAGGATTAAGAGACCATTCCCACAGATATTTAGATCGATCTATCTCCTCGGAGAGTCTCACTAGATTGCTGTCAGCTTATCCGGCTCAAATGTCTGTCCCGCCTACTAAAAGCTGTAAGGGGGTAATTAACTTTATGCACGCTCGGCTCCCAGAAGTTGACAGCAATTTAGCATGAACCCCCAGGGAGTTAGGTCGATCCAGATAGATCGATCTAAATCTGTGGGAACCTAGTCTAAGAGTGTGATATAATGTGTCATCAGTGTGTAACAAACACAGCCCTTTCACTTTTTATCTATGACTTAAAAGTGTACAAATTCTGCAAAAATTGTTTTCCACTTTTGAATTTTGAATAATCTCAGTTCATACACATATTTTGCAGGATGGCTGGAAACTACAAGACCTGTCTCATTGATAGTACGTCACAAAGCCAAAATGAATGTCAAGACACGTAAACATAGACCAATGGTCATACGGGCGTTGCAAGCAATTACAGAACCACTGATTCTAGAGGACCTACAAAAACCAATATGCCCTAAAACAAAGTGGGCAAGGATAAGAGAGAATGAAGAGGAAGAGGTATAATTATTAATCCCAATATGACATTCAGTGCAAGTAAATCACATGATGTATAGATGTTACCGAAACTTGTGTAATATATTGCCTTAACAAAAACAGAAAAAGAAATTGATTCATTGCTGAAATTTCAAATTATTATTTTGCTTCAGATTTGGAAATTTTATATAGAAATTGGATACAACTATTTAATTCTGACATTATTCATATTTTTATTCACGCAGGTCAACTTGTATCAGGATTTTCTAGTTAGAAAATGCAAAAAGCACTTAGAGAATGCAGGGCTGATTTTAATCTGCCAGAAGCTACCCATGGGCATGAGAGACACCAAGAAAATCAAGTTGCAGTTGGAAGCCCAAGGGTTCAAAATGCCTGTGATTAGTAATACGGTTATGAAGTAAGTGTAGATGGAAAGGCTAAAAAAGGCTGATTGTAAATGTAGTAAAGATGATGCAGAACTTTTTGGTTTGATATATATTTGATTTAGAAATCCACATCAAAGTGGTAAGCAAGCAATTTAAGAATTTATGCCTTTGTGTGAGAGAACAGTTTTTATTGTCTTGTCTATTTTGTTTTTAAGGCGTGCAATCCATGACACCAGATGGATCCACCTGTCTCCACTGCTATTGAACCACAATTTTTATGCCACATCTGAGGATGCTCGGCTAAAGGAACTTTTGGGTTTAATAAGGAAGTTTCCTCAACTCATACCCTTAGGTGAGTAAACAGGTGCAACGTGGGGCAGGGGTTTAGCCAAAATTGTGAAATGGGTTCAAATTCATTTCCTTACTGAATCAGGGCACCTTGGCTCCATATGACATACTCCAATTATAAAAATCTGAAAAAAATGTCAATCCAAAATTGAAATAGGGAGTCCTACCTGTCATGAGCAAAAACTTTTCAAAGACCAATAAAAATATTGCATTCAGCCTGTCTAAGAGACAGACAACAATTTTAAAAACTGACAAACTGAATAATGGATAATCTGACATTAAGGCCTTTAGTCAGGCAAATCTTTCATAACTGTAAGTCTGAACATTTGTCTGTTTTTAAAAGTTTTCAACATGTTGCTGCTTTGTGCTAAAGTGCCTCGGGTATTAACTGTTTGTTCATTTTTTTAGCTGCTGTTGTGGACAATACTATCCTGAACAGAGCAGATCTGCTGCACTATGCCACACTGGACTTGGAGGTGGAGAGAACACAGCTTGTGACTCTGTTAAAGATGCCAGGAGAAAGAATTGTGCAGTTACTTAATAATCACCCAAAAGAGCTGACTTGTAACATAGAACAATATATCAAACAAAAGGGGGATGAAAACACATCCAGTTGATGGTTTGTTACATTTAATCACATGGAGATGTTAGTAATGGTCAAAACACTTGAAGGCAAATTCATTGACATAGCACATTGTTTTCTGCTAAGTAAGCATGGTAGATAAAAATGGCAGTTTTGAGTTTCTCCCTGTCTTGTCTATTAATTAGTGTAGTTAAGTGATTGTCTCTGTCATGTTTACATGATTATTAACGAAACATTTCTTTTGGTTAAATTTGACAAATACATTCGGCTATAGAAGAAGTCGTATTTGATAAACTGCTACAAATGAGATAACAAATAGAAATTAGTTGGTGCAAGTAACCACAAAAAAACTATTTAGAATTTTGTTGAAATTCCTCTTTCCATTTTCAGTTCTACAAACAAATTTTCAGTTTGTAAATAAAGTAATAGCGCAACTTGCATATTCCATTGCTGCATGGCAGGTGGGGTGTGAATAGTTCCCCCCTACATGTATAAACAGTGAACTAACTTCTATAAAACCCAAAGTGGATTTATCCACATTTATTGATTTAACTTCAGTTTTAAGTTATATTTTCTTTTCAAAAGATTTTATTACTTTGTCAACAAATTTTACACAATAAAAAATTATGCCAAAGTTTGAAGGTAAACTCAGAGTAAAAATGTTATTATATATATATTATTCAACATATCCTGCAAAGCTACTTGTCTTACCCAATTCAGACGTAAAAAAAACAATAAAACCGTTCAGTATTGTGTATGTCTTGCTTTGTATTATCATCTTCGGTTTTCAGGTCTTCGTCCTGCATAATCAGAGTTGGACCTCTTCCCACATATGTCCCTCCCCCCTACATTCTTGTCTATTTCTAGGTTCTGTGTCTTCAGCTTGCAGCTGTCTCCTGTCTGCATTCACTACCTCCAAGTTAACATTGCCCTTCCTGGATTCCTCCTTCCCTCCACCTCAAATTCTGTTGCTCTTTTTACCCATTTGTAGTCACTCATCCTGTACTGTGTGGGGCGGCGCAGCACATCCCTGATATTTAATTCCCATTTGCGGTACCTGAAAACAATTGACAGAAATTCAGACCTATCCTGTATGTTGTGTCCTAGCATAGTTGATTTAACATTCTGACCATGATTACCATTTCAGTATGTCTTGTCCACAGTTTAAAATTCCATCTTTCAGTCCAATGGAAAAAGTCTTAGCTGGGAAAAGAGAGAACAATTTCTCCAAGCATCAACAGAATTGCAGTGGAATGCTGAAACACTACCAAATAATGCGTAGGTTGCTTTACACATGTGCGCACCACAAGATAATCAAACAGCATCCGGCTCAAAAGACTTCATTGGCAAGTCGTAAATACTTTATTGTTTTTATTGTATGGACATTTTCTCTATAGTACAGAGAATAAGACTGGGTTCCCATGCCTAGATCGATCTAACAAGATCAATCCATCTCTTGAGGGATTTCTCGGTAACTTGCTTTCAGCTTAAGCGGGTTAGATGTCTGGCAAACCTACTGAAGCTGCTAAAAGATAATTAATTACCCCCTAGCAGCTTAAGTAGGGGTGAGAGACATCTAAGCCGCTTAAGGTGATTGCAATTTAGCGAGAAACCCCTCAGAGATGGATCGACCTTGTTAGATCGATCTAGGTATGAGAACCCTGTCTTATTATCTGTACTAACTGTGGATCGATCTATCTCCAAAAGGATTCTCGCTAAATTGCAATAAACTTAAACGGCTTAGATTTCTATCACGCCTACTGAAGCTGCTAGGGGGGTAATTTTCATTAAAATTATCGTTTGGTAGCTTCAGAAGGTGTGCCAGCCACCTAAGCCGCTCAAGCTGAAAGACAAAATGACAGAATCATCTATGTACTCAACTTACTTTCTGCTTGGGAGATCAATTCCTTGTGTATGCAGCTTGAGACATGAAAGCCTACCTAAACAACAACGCGGTGCTTGGCATGGGTATCGATGCAATCGTAAGACTAAATTGCGTTTCCAAGTAAGAAATTCGTTTATGTATTTGCGAAATTACAGCACAATTTATTCTTTTTTATCGGTTTATTTTCAAGGTATGATTTTTTTTCTGTTTTTTTCAGGTCGTGTAGCAGTACTGCTTTTTAATTTATTTACGACTTGCCAGTATATTTCTACATACAAGATTATATGCAAAGAAAAGCTTTACTGATGAAGGTCAAAATTTTTGCTCTGTGCATTAGCACGATCTCGATAGTTTCCATTTATTGGGCGAAGAGAAATTTAAGTAGCCGATATGTGATGAACACCATGATTCTGCCAAAAGGTAAAAATCAGTCTCTCTCTCTCCCTATCTCTTTCTCTCTCTCTCTCTCAAGTCAGACTGAGAGGCAAAGGACTTATATGCAGGGGGGATTTGAATTCTTCCCTAGACAAAAACCAGATGAGGCAAGTATCTAACCTCTTCAACCCAGCAACAGCATACATATGATTATCACAGGTGTTTAAATCTGATTTGAGGTGTTTCTCTTCAACATTCTCGGCATATATTGACCATCGTACATTATATGATCGATCCAGTTGGTACGATGGGTTTATGTTGGTATGATGAGTTTATGGGAACGCAGTCTCAGACTGGGTTCCCATGCCTAGATCTATCCACCTGGATCGATCTAACTCCCTAGGGAGTCTCACTACATTGCTATCAACTTAACCGGCTTAAATGTTGGTCACGCCTACCGTATCAGCTAGGGTAAAGATAATTACCCCCTAACAGCTTTAATAGGCGTGACAGACATTTAAGCCGGTTAAGTTGATAGCAATTTAGTCAGACTCCCCAGGGAGATAGATCGATCCAAATATCTGTGGGAGAAGTTATCAACTTGATTACCATTCTTTAAGACCGGGTTCCCATCCCTAGATCGATCTAACAGGATCGGTCCATCTCCACGGGGTCCCTCGCTAAATTGCTTTCGGCCCAAGCGGCTTAGACGTCTGGGACGCCCACTTGACGATAGTTAATTCCCCCTATCGATAGTTAATTACCCCTATCAGCCTCAGCAAGCGTGAAAGACGTCTAAGTCGCCCAAGTTTATTGCAATTAAGCGAGAATCCCCTCGGAGATAGTTCGATCCAAAGTTAGTACGAAAGTCTGTGGGAATGGTCTCTAAGTCACTGAAAACTCGCCTCAGCAGGGGCTTATTAATAATATATAGGTTCTGCCAGCGTCACACAGATAATATTCTTTCACATAATATACATACACAGATAATATTCGTTCGCACCCCTCTTCCTCATCAACATCATCATCATCATCATCATCAGTGGTCATAACTGCTGTTATTCAAACACATCTAACACGTCAGTTAGGTGGAATAGCTCAGTTGATGGATTTGCGATGTACACGTCGCAAACTTTCCACGTATGATATGCTTTGCCCCTTCTACCTCTATTTCTTTCGTTTTGCCTGTCAGTCTAAGGTGTTTTCGGTTTTTTACGCTTGAAATGTCCGGCAATTTTTGTTGTTTCTCTTTGATGATTTTAATTAGGTTTCAGTTAGCACTCCTTCGTTTTGGATCTTATCTGTCCATGATAGGATTAAAGGCGGATCGTCTGCGTATGACGTAATCAATTATTCAACAATATCAATCTTTATTCCTCTTTAATATTTAGGGAACTGATTTTATTGCCGGTGAAAGTAGTTCGACAATAAGATAAATCTCCGGCGATCGTCTATTTTTCATTTGTTTTAATTTAACAAAGCATTTTGACTGCGTTATATCAGTTTGTAGCACGACGAGTTCTTTGTCGATAAATATCCGGCGATCGTATATTTTTCATTTGTTTTAATATTAAGACATTTTGACTGCGTTATATCCGTTTCTAGCACGACGAGTTCTTTGTCGTTTAGTTTTTGAAAATCAGGGTTGTCATCTAAATTCAGACGGACAGTGTCACCAGAAGTTCCCATGCTACCACATTTGAGAAGTATGTACATCCAGACAAGGAGCTTCCAGGAGTAAAGAGGCTACTGAGACGTATTCATGCATTTAGACTAAAATTCCAACTTTGTCTTAGCAGTTGTGGTGAACTATTCAACTTCGATAAATGCTAGTTTTAATTTAGGTGTACTTTGTATAACAATCTAGCTCGGTGAAACACTACCTGAAATTTGAGGAACAAGAAGAGGGCGATTTTCACTATTATTATAAATATCTGAAATATGACCACTCTTCTTAGTTTCAGATAGGACAAATGGGGCCAACCCTCCAGGTGGAGCATATTTTGCCAGTATTGGACAACTTCCCGATGACACGTCTTCTTCGGCTGCTCCTTTACCGTACGAGGTCCCGCGACGGACATGTTCTCACGTCAATTGTAAAGCAAAAAGACATATTGTTTCCTTGAAAGTTCACAAATGCGGTTCTACCACCATCTATTCAATCTTCACACGGGCAGCAGTAAAATACGGGTTGACCCTTTTAAACCCACTGCCAGGAAGACCTAGTTTTTACCCGACTACAGGTAAAGATGACCCGAGAGCTTATTTTAGGAGAATAACTGTTGCAGACGCCGCATACAACCCAAATAAAACATATGACATGATGATTAATCACATGATATTTGATGCTGAAGTTGTAAAATCCATGATGCCCAATGATTCATTTCGCATAGGAATTGTCCGTGAACCATTTTCTCAATTTAAGAGTGCCTTTAACTTTATGTCAATGAAAAGCAAATTTAATATTACATCTTCTAATAGTCTGTTAACATTTTTCCAAAACCCGTATAAATATTGGAATATGTACACGCGCCGAAGTCATAACAGCTTGATAAGAAATGGGATGATCTACGAGTTTGGATTTCCAGATGACGATATGGAAATCAGAAACAACGAAACTTTCATTAAACAATACATTGATTACATAGATAGTCAATTTGATTTTATCATTGTGAATGAGCTGTTTGATGAAAGTTTGGTTTTGCTGGGTAGAAAGTTATGCTGGAAGGTAAATGATCTGCTGTATGTAAAGCAAGGTGTTGGTAAGTACACTCCTGAATATAAGGCTGATGACGACCCATGGATCATTCAACAGCACAAAGCATGGAGTAAAGCTGACTATTACTTGTACGACTACTTTTTGACCAAATTGAAAAAGACAATTGCTTCTCAAGGTAAAGACTTTTATGACGAGCTTGCAAGTTTTAAAAATGCTTTGAAATGGGTGAAAAGATGTGGGTTTAAAAATGTGATAGATGTCTGTCGACGAAATGTCAGTGGAACTTACGTTGCGCTGCAGTGTGAAAAATTTGGCCGTACAAATAAACAGAACTGGTCAAGTTTTACTGATTACTCGAATGAAAAAACAAAATCTTCACTAATTTAATATATGGTGCCTGTCACAGAAAAGATTATCGTAGCTTGATCATTGCTAGGCAAATTCTGTTCGTCCAGATAAGATCTACATTCGGTCAAAAAGTTTGGAAATAGGATATCGTTTTTCAAATATTAAAAACTATGTAATGTAGGGGGAAAATCTTCAGTATATATTAAAATTAACGAATGGTGGGTGCATTATCCATCAATACTTGGTTAAATATTTACCTTAGCTGATATGGTTATTTTATAATTATTCAAAATAACGATGTTTCTTAACTTTTTTGCTCTAGTGTATATGCGGACTATATTGTATGGAATCCCAGGAGGGCCAAAAAAAGAAAATGAAAAAAAAATTAAAATAAAAAAAAAATCATATTGAGATTTTATTGTGGCTTT